GGGGGGGGGGGGGGGGGGTTCCTCGCGGAACGGGGCCCAGTGTTGATAGAAACTGCAACTACAAAACAAAATAGTCAAGTACTTCAATGTGGGATGCTTGAAAAACGAAAACGCCGCAGGATGCGGATCGCGTGTCAGGGGGACCAAGCGAGAAGCGAGCAGAATAAATCACGTAGCACACGAGCTGCAGCAATGTCGGAGAGCTGTTTGTGCTGATGCGTGCGAGTCACTGCCGTTCGGGATGTGATCTTCACTTACTGGCTTGCCGTGTCCATGCTCCAGAGTAGCACCGCTGTGGGCGCTTGTCGGCCATCTTGCTCATGCGCCAAAGATGCATAGGAGCTCGGAGCAACCATTCGGACAATTCAGCTACCGCAAGTCTCAGATGATTAGCACCAGCTATTCTCGAAATTGGTTTTCGTGCTTCAAAGCTTAAACAGCAGTAGCGGGAGCGGCGGCGGCGGCGGCATCTTTTGAAGCAGCGTAGCACCGGGGATACACGAGGGAGAGCTTGTGTGTAGAATCATCACCATGTCTTCCTTCATGGGGGAAGCTCCTGGTGTGGGTGGGTGGGCGGAGACAAGGAAGCACGCTGGGCAGCGAATCTCGCACAGTGCTCGCCGAATCGTCCACGTTTTGCCATCCTCACCAGGTATAGCAGTGTGGATGCATAAGAACCACTCCAATCTAACACTCGCGTAGCTGTGTTCGTGCTCAAAGGCACCGGCCTCCTCACACGGAGACCAAAAAATGTGTCGATTCCGAGATTCCGACGAGAAATCACGAACATCTCAATCTCTCCGCTGCGAAGTTACACCAGTAGAACTGGACTGCACAACAAGTGGGGGGTAGACAGCACAGTGGACAAGATACATTCATTTCCACAGGTTATCAACCGATAGACTGGACGCACATGTCTCCACAGAACGATGCCGGCATGCGTGGTGTGCCTCGGATGCTACATGGACCGGGGATCGGTGAACCAGCATCAACGCCATGGCGATCGGAGCGGGGAAACAACCCGCCCCCAATTCGAAAACATACGCACCGTTTCTTTGAAGTTTTCGCTGGTGACCGTGATGATGTCGCTCGCCGGCGCCCCGAGGCCGGCGCCGGCCTTCGCCTTTCCGCTTCCCCCGGCTACTCCCGCAGTGGCCACAGCAGCCGCAACGACGATAGAGCCGCCCCGTATCTCCAAGAAGGGAACGAGAACGAGTGACAGCAGCACCGCACACCACGAGCGTGGCAGTAGTCTCGACGATCTCTTGCAGGGCTGTGGCAGTCGGCGTCCGGCGTCCGCAAACTTCGCCATTTCCGGATGTGACTGCTGCCAGGTCAAGGAAGGGATTGACACGTGTCGTTGGCGATTGGATGCTCTGTGGCTGCCACAACGCCGTGCTGCCATGCTTGCTGCCTTCTCGGGGGCACGCAGATAGGAGAATATATTATTCACATACCCCTGCTATTTCAGTCAGATCGGAGTCGCAGGCCCACCAGCCCCGAGAGAGGCAAAATCCGCTCTGCTGTCACCATATGGCAGCCCCGAGACACCACCATGCAGGTTCGGAAAGGATGGATGCTGGCACTGGCATTGTTGTGTAGCTGTTTCCTCAACCCAGGGTGAGTCTAGACGCCGTGTGCCTGGTTGAATGACTATTACACTAGCTCCTCTATTTTACGCGTGCGGTGCAATTCAATAACCGTGCACTGCTTCCGTCGGCTCTCTGTGACCGACCGTGCTATCGTGCATCCAGGGGGCAAAAATTTGGCGAGCGAACAGTACCGTTCACATTCCATTACTGTCGAGTGGCGAGCGACAATACCATCAATGTCTTCTGTCTTGACACGTCTTCACCCACGATGCTGCATGTGTGGTGTCGGGAAATCACGGGATATTTATGTATGCAGCAGTTGCTCTCACCTGTACGCCGTCTTCACCCGCTATTGGAGCACCCGCTGACCACAACGTGAATATCCATCTCTTCCTCTGCCCTCGGCTATACTCTAGCTCTATGCTGCGCACGCCTGCCCAGCCTCCTTTGATTTGTTTTTATATGCTGCAACAGCACCCTTTTGAGACCTGAGACCAACCATCTTTCGCATGCGGTGACATTCGGCGTTCCACCGTCGGTGTTGTGAAAGAGGGTGATGTGGCTTCTTTGTGGAATATACTACCTGCAGCCTGCACTAGGCTCGTGAGTTTTTGCCATTGGCTCGTTTATACCACACAGCAACAGTGTTGAGTCAGGGGGCGCCAGTGTGATTTACAAAGAGGGGGGGGGAGGTGTTATCATCAGCTACATTTGTAACACCAAAAAAAAAGCTCGCTGTTCCTCTGCCTGGTTCGAGCTTTGATCTAAGGCAACTCGAAAGTGTATGATTTGTGACCAGACTAGCACACACAAGGCGCAGGTGGAACGCTAGGCCCTCGCACTCAAGTATACAGAGGTTTACAGCAGTACATGCATAATCAATGGTGGTGTCCACAATGTAGCAGCGTGCTGGTATGCCTATTGTCCTCTCTCTCTCGCTGATGACAACAAACGCTGCCGCTCGCAACACGCACAACCCAACCAACGCTTGTTCTACTCTCCTCTCGCTTCCTCCGCCAAAAGCTAACAGCGTAGTATGTATAGGGCACACCCTCCGGCCTCGCTCTCCCGGTGGTGTGTGTGTGTGTCTCCCGCCCCCGTCGTCCATCAGCCGTGTCTCTGTGTAGCGCATGTCTTGCCACAGCACACCGGCAAAACCAAAAGAAATCACGCCTTCCTGGTTTTTTTGGCGGGGACGCGTGAATCCTAGATTTATTTCAGCACAGATACTTTGCTATCTCTTACGCACTGACCACGGATTGGAAAGGTAGCAGTCGGGATGGACAGCTCGGGCAAAATGCTACTTGTTGTGCACAAGTTTTAGATTGCAATTTGGTGTCTAGATGGTGAAATGGGCTCCAATCTCCTGAGTATTCATCGCCGCACAGGCAGACAGACGCCGGACACCGGACACCCTCAGTGCAAACGTGCCCCCCTCGTGCGGCTTTTGTTGTATTTTCGTTTACGTACATGTACATAAATCCCTCTACAGCTCTTTTCTTGCTAAAGCAATAAAGAACCCCCATGGCCTCCCCCGGTGTTTACCATCGGGGTTGGGTTTTCGTCGCTTGGCAACGACGTTGTAAAACAAGCTAATTCACTTCGTGAGCTCGGCAACCAGGTTACCGTTTTTTTTCCCCTCTGTTATTTTGTTGGCGGTAACCATAATGGTGGTCAAGTAGATCATGTTGTGCGGAGTGGACACTCCTCACTCCGAGCAAGGGGGATGATCGCACCACGTTGTGTCAAACTGGTCAAACACCCTCAAAGTAGTTACACAGTGCTTACAACTGTCTCTGGAAGTGAAAGCACCAGAAAATAAATTAATTCATACGCAGCTGTCATCCGTACGCAAGGAAGTAAGCACAAGATGCCGAACACCCTTAGCAGGATGCAGCGCACCCTTCATGCGACTCGCCGAATATCTCACGGCGCTTCGCGCTTGGTGATGTGAGAGCCTGGTCCGGTGAGAACCCGGCGTGCTCCGTCCCGGCTTTGTAGGGATGCGAGGTCAATGATCTAACGACTACGGCATGCACGACTATGAGTACACCCCCCCATGGGCCGCTCATCAATAAAGCTACGTTTCAAAGTAGCATTTCATTGTGTTTTTTTGCCTCTGCTGTGTACAACCGATGTGGTACCACATGAACCCAACACTCCTTACGACAGTCTATACCATGCCCTAGTGCTGCATGGACCTTGCGCCTGCAATAACGCGTGAAGGTGTTCTCACACCCATCTCAAAGCAAAATGCTGATCGTTTTTTTCCTGTTCTCCCGCGGTTGCGAATGGACCGCGTTCCAGCTGGTATTGACAACGTCCGAGAGAGCACAACATCCCGCCGTGCTGATGTTGTGGGATTGTGGCAGTTGTTTATGCAGCTGGTTTATATAGTCACAAATCGGGCCTAGCTTTCCTACGCGAAGTCAAGGCCGAGCAATAGCTTGTGGCTGTGGAGTACGCGCCGAGGCAGTGTACTTGTAGGCTTCTTTTGTTTTGATATATCATAGCCGGCTATTCTTGTCTCGAACTTGGCAGTGTCGGAAGGTCGATGGTCGATACTCCTCCCGTCCCGTCCAATGCAGCCTGCTCCTGGACGATCGGCCTCCTGCATGTTGAGCTGTTTTTCGGACCAGAGTAGAACACACTTGACAAGACACTATTAACTCATCACTTTTGCGCTGGGCTCTACCTGAACTAGGTGCAGCAGTAGTCTTTCTCTTGGCCGTGGATCCAAAAGGAAGATTAACTTGTAGTTGTCCCATTGGGCAACATCGACTGCCGCTTGTGCTGTGTTCGGTAAACCAGTTTGTAATGCATCTCCCGCAACCATCGGCAACTTTCACCTCTGCACGGTATCTGCGACACTGAAACATCGAGATCAATACTCCACATAACCCTGTTCTCTCTTTCAACAGGGTGGCGTCATCATCAAGCTCGAGTGCCACCCCCTCCCCCACATCGACGCCGAGCCCATCGTCGACACCCAGCCCTGGGGCGACACCAAGCCCCAGCGGCACGCCGGCACCAACCAGCGCCACGCCATCCCCCGGAGGGTCGTCTAGCAGCACCAGCAGTAGCAGCACCAGCAGCAATAGCAGCACCAGCGGCACAAGCAGGGGTACCGTGGTGGCGTGGGCGTTCTTCACCGTGTTATTTGGCGTGGCGCTCTTGATGTTCCTGTACAAGTGAGTAGACGGCTGCTAGCGTAGACGAGAGGAGGGTCCTGGGTTGGTTATCGGTGTCGACTGGGTATGGGTTGCTCGATTGATTTCGCACGTTCTGAATAGTAGGAGGTGGTTGTTACGGAGGAGCGTCGCGCAGAGGTTGGCGCGGCTTCGGTGGCTTCTTGTTTGTCGGGCGTGGCTCTGGCAAGTGGCAAGAGAACGGCGAGGCTTCGGGGGGGAGAGCGCGAGGGAGATATATCGAAGCAGAACAGGAGCATACGCCGCACTTGAGCATGGAGACAGGGAATAGTCTTGTCGGAGGGAGGCTAGAAGCGGGAGTCAAACGGGGTGTTGGGAAGAGGCAATTTAAATTTTGAGATCGTATCGTAGAGGCTGACGAACCACTGCTGATATCCTCTCTCACCTCTTGGCCGCCCTTTCGCCCGCTCCTTTGCTCCCCTTGCCTTTGTGTTGTCCTCCCCCGATGGCGAACGCAAAAATTTCAGTCGCGAGCAAAACAAGAGATTGCGGGCACAGCGCGGGGATTACCTTCGGCAGAGTCTGGCGTCGAATGACACCATGAATCCACCGTATCACCAACCAGAGCCACTGCACGGACACAAGCCGGATCCCACCATGTCTTCGTTTTAACATCGTACATATTAATACTGGTGTAGGTTGGACGTTCGCCTGGTGCCAGCATGGCTGACTCTGCCTGGGTGGCTTGGTGAAGTGCTGTATTTCGTTCATCGTTCGGTCTGTCGAGTTCAACCCAGTTAGGCAAATGAAGACACCCAACGGAATACCCATTGGTCAAACTTCAGTGATGCTATCGTGCTTGCGTGGTTGCTCCCTCTGCTACTTGTTATTCCCTGCTGTGTGTTGGCCGCCAATTCGTTTGCTACATTGTTGTCGTGTTGCCATCCAGTATTGTTGTTACTTCTTTACCATGTTGAGGCTTTGCTGGCAGCACGTGGCATCGTGGTCGCGGTGAACCAAGCAGATTTCATCCCATGTTGGGGGTTGTTGGCCGTGCTCACCTTCGTCAGTTTCGTGGAAGTTGTTTTGTATTTGTGTGGTGTGCTTCTCGAAGCATCGGCTTTTATTTCAAGTGGAGAGGTTTGTCCTCTTCTGTCTCCAAGTGTCCTGGGCGAGAGGACAGTATCGAAGAGCCGGGATGTCAAACACGCACGGCTGCTCTTGAGGCACGATTCGTCGGAAAATACTACGTGCTGGTATAGCGCGAGCTTTTTGAAGGGCGGTGTAGCTGACCAACCACAAACTACGATCGTATCCCTGTGCGCCTCCTTGATAACGAACAAGGTTAAATAGCGCTCCTCCGTTCACGTGTGTGGGCTCTGCGGTGGTCTCCGTGCTCGGCGCCTCGCTGGATTTTCGGCAGAAGAATAGCCCGCAGGAAGAGATTCACTCTGTGAAATATTTTCGTGAGTGAGCCGCGGATGCAAGCCACAGCGGACCATATTGTTGCGTGGCTCATCACGAAGCTGTTGTTTGGAATGTGTGTCTCCAGACTCGGAGTGAAGTTGTACTCTCACCGGTTCGACTAATATGCTGTACCCAATGAGACGTATCTGTAGGTGCAACAAGTACATCAGCCTGGCAATGTCGTGAGGGGGTCGTGAAAAGCACAGGGTTGGGCAAGAAGAGCGCCAAGTGTTATATGCGGTAGAGTTCATAATCAAGGCCGTCATTCCGGCAACAACCTTGTTGTGTCGTGACTCCGTTGTTGAGGGCTTTTTTCCGCCTTTCTGCCAATAACTTCCTCGTGCGCCATGTCGATACTCATGCTGGCATGCTGCTCGCCGGCAAAAGCGCTTGTCCTCCTAGACGGTTTGAACAAACGGCAAGGCGTGCACCCACGTGTTGCACAGTCACACAGGGGACGCTTGATTCCTGAATCACCTAGAGACAAGCGCGGGGTGGCATCGCGCTCGAACATGTCATTCCGCATCGAATGTCCCTGCCGCTTGATTTGCTCAATCATATGCGGGAAGGCTGTATCGGGTTTCGTACAAAGGTGCTCTCCCATATTGACCTCTCGGCTGACACACATCGTGTTGTATCCTTCGCCCTCCTCCAGTAACATACCCGCACCACTTTCCCATACGGAGATGCCAACTGCTACCCTTCTGCCGCTGCTGCCCTTCATGACGGATGCTCTACGACGTGATTTCGACATGTTGTCAACAAGATATCTCGGCAAACCGCTCTGAGGAACAACAGGGAAGTTGACCAGCCAACCATACATTTAGCATTGTGAAAAGTTTTCGTGCTTTACTGCTGTTTGCCAACACCAAACATAACATGAAACAAGCTAAGCGAGATGCAACCGGACTGTTAACCCCTAATCACCATGCACTCTGTGTACTATCTCATGCATCAATGATACGTAAACCCCAAAAGATCAAATGTCATTTTGCGGACTCAACAACGGCGGGAAACGACTGCCCATGAAATTCAAATTGTTTTGGGTTGGGAATCGGTTCCGATTCATCGATTGAATCGGACCGATATAAATCGAAATTGGAATCGGAAAATTGGGCCGATGTTTTTCCGATGTTTCACCGATGTTTTACCGATGTTTGCGTTGTACCGTTTGTTGGCCGTACGAAGAGGGTGGTGGCATCCCAGTGCCGGTGGAGGGGTTCTCTTATGCGTATGAGTCCGTATACGATGCTGGTGAAGCCCTCTGCCCTCTAACGTGCTGTTGCAGTGAGGTACAGGATCCACACACACGCAACCCCCTGCTATGCCGCGTACCATTCTGTAGTTCTTGCCTACATAAATGCCCCCGCTGTTTCTCTTCTGCGCGGAGGGGACGCACACGCGCTGCGTGCCATCCTACAGCGCTCCTATATGGCACTAGTAGTGTGGCGGTGACTGTGGCTGCAAGCGACCAAAACGCAGAAGAAGCTGAACTCGCGGCCAAAATTGATCGCCTTGAGAACATGCAGAAGAAGACAAAGCCTGATGCCGGGACTCATGCTGTGTGGGCGCTTGGCATCTACAAAGTATACGACGTGCCTCGCGACTTCCGAAACATCGCTGTGTGCTCGTTGTGCATAAAGAATAACCACCTGTCAAACGCCGAGGTCACGTTCGAAGGGGGGTCTCCCACCAACTTGGTAAATCATCTCAACACAGCGCTGGCGGGGGGCACCGGCAAGCTTACCAGCGCCTTCGTACCTCTTCCAGCAGCAAAAGCGATGGCTCGCACGGCGGTGACATCAGGCGTTTCACGACAGAAGACACGAGCGCGTTCGTCGAGAAGCCTAGCCCGTTCATCATCATGACCAACCAACCGCTTTCGGTGACGTGTGTTGTTTTTTATTGCTCTCTTTGATTGAATGTGTTGAACTTAAATGTATATATTGCGCTGCAGCACGCTGCTCTGTACTTGGTCGGCACGCAACAAATCTCTAGCCACAAATCTCCCTCAGTTACCACCTCCCTTCGACCTACTACTACTTTTATATTTGTATTTATTATATAGTATCGTGATCACCTCTCTAACCGCTCCTGGGTGCAATGGTTCCACAGAATAAGAAATTCGAATTCGACGTTCATATCACCCAATCATTCAGCCACAGGAGGAGGGGTTGCCGACGCTGTTTCATTTGACTGATATTTACGCCTGTCCGCCTGTTTGGCTGCTGTCCTTACACTCCGCTTCCCACAAAATTTCATATGGTGGAGAACGAACTCTTCACCAAGATGGTACGATTTTTGAAATCCAGGGCTATTGTGCCTCACAAACGCCTCTTCCTCGAGAAGCTACGCGGAATGAAGAAAGGGCTGGACCAGGAAGTACTTCGGAGGCTGACCAGCGAGCACGTTGCCGTCACCTCTGACGGATGGACTCGGCCAGCAACGACACGTACATGACCTTCACCTGCACCTACATCTCATCCAACTTCGACCTGGTGGCGCTCTGTTTGGAGTATAAGAAGCATGGAGGGCGCACGACGGGTGAGGATCTCGTGGAAGCCGTGAAAGCCATGATCGCCCGAAATGGTCTGACGGGTCGTACCGTGGCAACCACGACGGATTGCGAGCCGTTCATGGTGAAGGCGGGTCGTCTCCTCGAGGAAAACGAGGGCGTTTCCCACCTGGGGTGCTTCTGCCACCGCTTCGAGTCGATCACATCTCAAGCATTCGGCGGCCCGGGCGTGTCGAAGGCGCTGGCTCTTCCACGTGGCGTCGTGACGCGCTACACCATGTCTAGCCAGGCCTCCAATCGTTTGGAACAGATGTGTGACATCGTGCAAGTAGAGAGGAAGAAGGTCGTGCAGGATGTCGAAACGAGGTGGTGGTCGACGTATGCGTCCATCTGCCGCCTTCTCTCCCTGCGCCGGCCCATCACAGACCACGAGAAATCGACAGCATCCCTCCCTTACTTAACGAGAAGGACTGGGAAGTGCTTCAGCTGGTGGAGCCGCTATTGCACCCGTTTATGACGGCGCAGAAACACCTTGAGGCGTCCAAGGGCGTCACGGTGAGCTTGGTGACCGCGTACATCGCCGACCTGCGGGACGAACTGGACGAAGCGATCGAACGTCTCCAAGCCTACTCTTGTCCTGCGGAGTCGATCGTGGCCGAGGCAAAAAAGGATATTCTTCGTTGCGCCCCAGCACTTCAGACCGACCTCAGTCGTCGTTGGCGTGACGGAACCGACGTGTTGGTGTACACGGAGGGTCCTCGCCGGCAGCCCCGCGGGTTCAAGAAGAAGCAAGTGCTTGCTACTGCTTTGGATCCCCGGAGCAAAAGCCTGTATGGGATCGAGGAGACCGAGCACTCGGACGTGTGGGAGGCCGTTGCCAACGAGGCGGTCAAGGTGGCCATCGAAGCCAAGGCTACGGAAGACACCCAGAGCGCCGGCGCATCTTCTTCCCCTATTCCGGTCGAACCCGCCGCTGCCGCCGCTTATCAGCCTCGGCGTCGCCGTGGCTTCGCAACAGCTTCCGCGGCGCACGGGGCAAGCAGCAAAGTGCCAATGCGAGCTCTTCGACTTCAAGGCAGCAGATGGAGAGCATCGTCAGCCGGGAATTGGACGCTTTCAAGACAATGCCTGGGTTAGCAGTGTCCTGGGAAGAAAATGGCCAGGAAGTTCGCGGCAAGCCACTTGAATGGTGACGTGTCAAGGCGCGGGAGTATCCCACGCTGGCTTTACTTGCCCGCCGGGTACTGTGCATCCCAGCATCTTAAGCTCAGTCGGAACGTGAATTTTCGTCGGCAGAACTAGTCGTCACGAAGACACGGGCTCGCATGGACCCCGAAAACGTAGAACTGATGGGGTGCCTGCGTATTATTCTACCCGAGGTGGACCGCTGGCATGGAAATGGTAACAAGAGGAAGAGCGATCCCAAAAAATGATGGGTCGGAACAAGTTGAAACTATGTAGATGTAACAGAACGTCGTGCAAAACAGCGGTTGGGCGGTATCTACCTTGTTTTACTTCGTAGTTCATTGAGGATTTGGTCGGTTTCAATTGTAGCGATAGCCCAAACCCGGCACCCGCTTGGTGCCTTTGTTCTTTGTTTTTTTTCGCGTTCTCTGCGTTCCTTTCTTGGTTCCGGTTTTCTACCCCTGGTGGGGGCGGGTAGAATTAGTCCGAATTCTTTGCGCGCAACGCGTTAATGCTACACAGACGTCAGAACATGAACGTCAGATGTCTTGTTGATTTCAAAAGATTTCTGTGTTTATGTTTCTACGATCTATACTAGACTATAGATGTATTATTTTCTCCATTTCTTCAATCCTTTTGTAGGTACTGCTCATAGGCCACATAATATCTCAGTGGCTCATGAATCAAATGTGAGGGATTGTGAAGGGAAACGAAGCCAAATGTTCCAAAAACTTTTGCCTCCGCCGGCGCCTCCAGCGGGGCCCCCTCACGAGCCGGGGGGGG